TTTATTAGACAAGTATGTTTATTGTGGCGTAACTATTTTTTGATCATCATTTAACTCAAAATCAATTTATAGTCTCGAAACCCACTTTTAATAGCAAAGTTCCCATATAAGCAGAAAATTAAGTATTGATTCTTATCTTTATATTCTGTATCCATATATCTCAAGAATGATCAAATTCACTAAGTTTACTGCGCTAATGAGATCATATGCTAGCGATGAGAATTAGGGATTTTTTTGATATGCGAAAAGGTTCAAGAATGTAAATTTTTCATTTTTGATTTTGAACTTTTATAAAACTGGAATATTAGATTAACATTTCTTTAAAATTGATTGATTAATTTTGTATTTTGTAGGATAACGGTAAGTATTAAAAATATTGATAAATTAATTTAGTTATTTTGTTATAGTTTTATTTTTATAAAGCGGATAAAAGAATCAACTAGCGAAACTTTTATATGTTTATAGCTATACCTGACCTGTCAAATAGAAATTAGATATAATTATATAGATTATCCTCTACCTCCAGGGTTATCTTAATAAAATGAGTCTGTATTTGCGGAAAAAATATACTACATTTATTGCCAGAAGAATTATTGCATCACTTTTGACTCGAGAGTTAAAGAATTTGAAGGCGATTAGTATTAATTATTTGCTTACAGCTAATTTCATAATTCATGAACCATTAATAATTTTTCAGTCACATTCAGTCGCAATTTTTTATAGTAATTTTATTATAAAATATTTTACGTCGCATCGCATTTAGTCACAATTTATTAGTAGTCTACGAATTATGAAATTAGCTGTAAATTTAGATAATGAAAGTGTCATAATTAATAAACTGACTTATATCTTTCTATTTGTATATAAAAATGAATTCATCGCCTGTGATTTATTAATTAACGCATGATGAATCATAAGATGAATAGAGAGGAATTATACAAAATATATTTTTCGGTTATGTAAAATTTATTTTCTCATCAGAATTTTAAATTTTAATTTAATTTAGTCGGGATTATCATTTATTCATTAACATGTCATGTTATTAGAATCGATGATCAGAATTGATTAATAGTAAAAGTAAATGAATGTGTTATTCAACAATAGAATATAATTTAAATGTAAATGGTAAAAGCCAAGAAATTACATCCTATAAATTACATGGTTTTCATTTATCAAACGCCAACGCAATGTTTATGATGCAATTTTTACTTTGTATTGAATATTTTATTATTAATTGTTGATTCTAACATATACTTATCAAATAATTCATTAATCAAATGGGAAAATCTGATTGATGTAATTTTCTTAACGTTTGGCGCTTGAAAATTAATCATTTATCTCAATAGATTTTGATTTAATTTTTATATAAATACACCTTCTGTTGTTCATGAAAATTTAAATACTTTTTAAAAATGGAACATCAATATAAAGTTACCCGTAAGAAAATATATATAATATTTTTTAAAATATTTAAGTATAAATATGATAATTAATTTTATTTTTATTCGAGAAAGTTCAATATCGACCAGATCCTCAAAATAAATCCGCACCTACAAGACATGGAGTAATTAAAGAATTAAAACCAAATTTAAAATATATCGTCAAAACCGATGGACAAAAAGAGATATATATTACTGGAATTTAACTATTATTCTAAAATAATTTGCTCATTTTATAAAATATATTATCTAGAAATTCATCAAGATCAAATTGCTGGACCCTCTCCACCCGCATAATTTTTATTTATTTATATTTTTTATTTTATTTTAATATACTTTTTATTAAATAAATAAATAAATAAATTTTTACTTGAATTACGTTTTTAAATGAAATTATACAGTATATTGACAAAATGATATTAAAAGTAAAAAAAATATAATCTATATAAACACTAGTCATACGATTTGTACGAAACATTGCTTAATTTTTACACAAGAAGTAATTCAAAGAATATCGTATGTATCGTACGTTTACAAATGTAATTCATTACTGGATTATTCATCTTATTTATCTTATAATCAAAGGATTTTTTTTATTGTCGACCCTCAAGTTTATTAAGTAAAAATCTTTATATTTGTGTACATTTTTGAATAGTCATCGTGAAATTATTTAGTAAATGAAAGTATAATTAAATTACACAGACA